AGAGAGAGAGAGAGAGAGAGAGAGAGGGAGAGAGTTGGTGTTTTTTTTTTTGTGTGTGTGTGTGCGTGTGTGTGTGTGTGCGTGTGTGTGTGTGTGTGATTCCGGGAACGCCGGACCCCCTTCGCATTTCGGGGGATCAAACCGGTGTGTCTCACCTTGTTCCCCCCCCCTCTCCCCCCCCCGTAGTGCAGAGGGGGTGGAGAACGCCGGACCCCCTTCGCGCTTCGGGGGAGCAAGGGGTGCGCAGGCTTGGTGTTGTGGCCATCGAGGGGATGGGACGGACCCCCTTCATCCTCCACAGCACGAACGGGGTCCGGCGTTCCGGGAACGCCGGACCCCCTTCGTGTTATGCCCATCGTCGGATCGGATCTCGGACCCCCGTCCTCCCCCGCGGCACAAAGGGGGTCTGGCGTTCCCGTCCTCCCCCGCCGCACAAAGGGGGTCCGGCGTTCCGGGAACGTCGGACCCCCTTTGTGCTGTGGCCATCGAGGGGAGGGGACGGACCCACTTCTTCCCCTGCAGCTCAAAGGGGGTCCGGCGTTCCCGGAACGCCGGACCCCCTTGGTGTTGTTGCCAGCGACGGGGAGGGAGGGGCCCCCTTACTCTCTCGCAGCACCGACATGGGTCCGGCGCTCCGGGAACGCCGGACCCCGCTCGGTGCTGCTAGAGGGAGGGGGAGGGAAGGACATGAAACGCCGCGGGGTTCCGTCGACAATGCGGGCGAGGGAGGGGTCTGGCCGACCACCGTGCCGACAGGCACGCTGGTGGGGTCTGCTATTTTGGGGACGCCAGACCCGCACACACAACGGTCCTGGGGTCCGGCTTTCTAGGAACGCCGGACCCGCTGCGTGGGGCGGTAGCGAAACTCCCGTGCCGCGACGGGTGCTTCTTCATGTCACTTAGTGTTGTTTTCTTGTTGTCTTTTTCTGTGCGACCCTTCAGGAAAAACAGCGTCTGGCTCCGCCCCCGAAAAACGGTACGGCAGGTCTAAGCTCTACCACGACAAACCATGGGCTCTTGATTGGGTAGGTGGCCTTCATATGCCGGGTTGCGGAGCCGTTGTCTTTTTGAGCGATGACAATGGCCTGAGTTGGTACTGCTGCGGAGGGGTGGAGAAATCGGAAGCGGGGAGGTTTACCTACGACGGCAGGAAGTTCAGGACCTTCTTCCTTCGTCTGTCTATGACAGAGAGGGGAAAAACTGGGTCAAGGAAGATAAGAAGGTGTCTCTTGACCATCGGCTCTTCCAAGGATACGGGGTCAAGGCTTTGTCGATGAAAGCGTTTGACGTGCGCGAGAACGGAACGGAGTTCCAAATGCTGGATCCGGAAAAGTTTCTTTTCAAAACCAATGGCTACCGCATGACTGGTTCCCTGCCTGTCGTCGACAGCGCTTTCATGCTCAGTAAACCTTTGGTCCAATTCAACAGCCCAGCGGACCAACTCGCAACTTTCGTTATGCGATACAGGGAAGAGTTCGCGAGGCTGCCTGCTGCCCAGCAAGTGGACCGTGTTTTCGTGCCGATTGACGCCCCGTCTTCGTTGGCTGCGGGGCTCAAACGGCGCAAAGATCAGCCGGCCAGAGCGGGTGGAAAGAGGAAGCAATTGCCGACTGCCCCGTTTTCGTCGGCTGCGGTTGTCCAGGCTCTGCCCGCTCCGGTTTCGCCCTCAGATCGGCAAGGTCGTGATGCGGCCGAGCAGTCCAGCGAGGCCACAGACTACGACGACAGAGCTGTGCGCTATCAGGCTGGTCCCCAACATCGTTCACGGGGAGGTGCAAGTGCCTTCGATGACGAGGAATGCGAGGGCCAAGATGGGGAGGGTGGTGGTTGGGATGGGGAGGGCGGTGGTGAGGAGGGGGAGGGTGGTGGTGAGGAGGAGGAAGGCGGTGGTAAGGCGGACGATGGTAACGAAGGAGATGCTGAAGGTGAGGACGATGGCATGGACGAGGAGAGAGACAATGTTGGTGAGGTTGTCGAAGACAATCGCTCCTCCCAATTTCACCGTCGCCACCACAACGAATCGCAGGGGCGCCGTGAGGACGACGCCTGCCGCGTCGGTAACGCGGTCGATGCTGGTGGCCAGCCTGCAGCCTCCTGCGGAATGTCGCAGTCCTATGACCAGACGAAGGATGGGAGAGACGAACCATGCTCACGGGGAAAGCGAAAGAGGGGAGAGGCATCGACCTCTCCTGCGAGTCGAACAAAACAGGCGCGGGCCGACGCCGTCAATGAAGCTCGTGGAGCGTTGATGACATCACAGGAAGCGCGGGCTCCTCGGAAAACTGGTGGGGGGGGGCGAAGTGGCAGCCGCGGGGGTGGTCGCGGCAGCGGTAGGAAAGGCTCGCAGAGGTCCAGGGCACCTGAGCTGCGGGACTCGGGGGATGAGGGCGAGGGGGTGGGGCCTCGCATGCCCAAAGACATTGAAGAGCTGGTTCAGCACGCCGCGCCCGTGGACACGACACGATGTTTCTTCCTCGAATACGACGAACAAGGCTTCGCCAGGCAAGACGTCCAAGTTGTTAACGTCGACGTTAATAAGATCAAACCCATTCCCCGTGGGAAGATCCTATTTAACCACCGTTCGTTGTCTGAGAACATTGTGAGAGGCATCGAGAGTGCCATAGAAAGCTCCATCAGTGCTGACCCGGGGGTGTGGGATAGACCTGAGCTCGTTCTTGCGCCGGTTGACCCCAACGTCATCGTCGGGGGGCAGGGAAGGCGAATCACCCCGGGTGAGTTCTTCCAAAGAGGTTCTACAGAGTTCGACTGGTACGCTGTATGTGGTCAACATACTGTCGAGGCCATGAAACGGTTGGTTGGAAAGGACTCCCCCGCGATCAAAGTCTACAGCCTCCGCACGTACTCTAAAGTGCGAGTCGTCTTTTTCGATGATGACCACACACGCGGGTACTTCAATGTCTCCCTCTTCGACAACACACGGGAAAATCGCGTCATGATGTTATCCTTCCAGGACGCTGTGCGTGATATGCGGCAATGGTGGATCGACAACAACAGGATCGAGGCACTCAAAGCTAAGGTCAGCGAGAAGGATGCCGTCGCCGTTGCGCATCAGAAAACGTGGCAGAACTTCCTGAGGGCCTGCATGGGGAAGGCGTGCGACAAGGCGTTCGTGAAACAGACACTCGACAACGAATACAGCAAGGATTGGAGTAACAAACTTCGGGAGTACCTGAACCTCGCCACATCCACCCACACGGTTTGGCCGCTGGTGGAGAAGTTCTTCGCAATGTTCGAGGAGGGTAAGCTGCCAATCGGCGACGGCAAGATCCCACTTGAGATGTCGGGGAGGATGGAGGGGCGCCTGCCCGGCCCGTACACTGACGAGAACAAGGGACAACAGACTTTGTACCATTGCATATATGCGAGAGATGGTCCCAAGGGCTCCACCGTGTCCTGGAAGGATTTGTGTCCTACGTACTTCAAGAACTTCGGGGACATGACATGCCGCGAGAAAGAAGTCGCGCTACTCCTGCTCATGTCGGGGAAAGTGGTGGCAACAAAAGTGAGAGTCACGCCTCCGAGGGTGAACACAGAGTGCCTCCTCGACATTATGCGCAAGGAGAGATACATGGTCCGCATGTTCAACTACGTGGTGTTTCGCGCCGAGGGAAGGGCAGGGGACGAATGGAACGACGACTTCTTCATGTCGTACGAAGACCTGGAAGAGAGGTATGCTTCAAATGGGTTATGCGCAGATGAATGGGAGAAGCGACGGGAGAAGCTGCATAGCAACTTAGTGAAGACGATCCCTCGGCGACTTGGAGGAGTGGAGGAGGCGAGGCAAGGTGCGGGTTTGGGGCCTACAGAAGTGATGTACAAGGAGGTCTTTATATACACTACGATCGATAAGCTCGATATGCCTCGAGCGGAGATGAAACGGATCGCCTCCAGTGCACGCCATCTTGTGTGGGACAAACTCAGCAGGCAAACCACATTGCTTCCTGTATGCATGCGGTCAAAGGAGGTTATGGCGGTGCCCGTCGACATCGTCGCAGCCACACAAAAAATGGCATGCAGGGCCGCCATCGTGGACATCTCGGCCACGAATTTCAGCAGTGCGTGGACCTTGCAGGACTTCGATGCACTGTACGCAATGATGGCGAAGTGTTGTGGTCCAAATTGGGTCCTCTTCTTCTTTGCACCGCAGAATGTGCAAAGCGATGTCTTGCGTCAATTGTACCGTTGGGAGGACATCGAGCTCATCCTCAGGTCATGGAAACGCGTGGACAGCCCGCCGAGCGACGTCACAAGGTACGACAACATCGCTATGAGCAGTCGGGACCTGATGGCGATCGTGCTGCACGCTGAAGGAGGGGATCTGAAAAAAGTAACTGTCGCACCCCGACTTCACAACGATCTCACCGAAGTGCATGTTGTGGAGGAAAAGTTCGGGAAGTGTCTCAGAAAACACGCTGGCGTCGAGGGTGACGAAAGTGCCGCATATTCAATTTGGAAGCGAGAACCTGACAAGTTGAGGAAGTTGTGCGGTTCATTCGTAAGAGAGGCGGAAAGTGTGCTTTTGTTGGGTAGGGCGCACGCGGGTCTTGTATGGAAGTTATTGCTTGCAGGTAATTATGTCATTGCCTGTGACGAGTCGGCCAAGGACATTGCATACTTGACAAAGTTCGTCGACATACTTGTTAAGGATGGGGGATTCGCGTGCCACCTCGAGAAGCCGCGTGCCACACATCGCACGAACAGGGATATGTACCACAAGTTGGGACCGAAAAGACTGAAGGTGTGGGAATACCTGTTCTGCGATGCGCCGGATGGACGCCTTGATGGGGGATACATATATAGGAAAGCCAAGGTGACCGAGGCCCTCAAACATTATCACGGTGCTCTAACTGGCGCCTTCGAGACATTCGTTGCTCGATGCGAGATCTTGAGGTTTGATCTTCACAAAGATAAACTGACATTTAAGGACTATGCAGACCTCGGTAAATTGGGTGAAGGCCTTAACCCCGTTGACAGCGAGGAAGACTCGTCGGACTCCGACCTCGAGATCAACAAGGACACCAATGCAACCGGGTGGTGTGGGAAGTCCGCTGCCATGGAGCACAGCGTCAAGGGATATGGACCGGGTCAATCAGAGGGATGCTCGAACATGCCACCCGCGAACAGTGTGGCCTCGGATGTGGACCGGGTTGTATGTACGCCTGTGGAAGACGACGAAGACGATGACCTTGATATTCCTGCTCAACCAACGAAGCTAGCGCCAGGCGATCCGATTTCTCCCAGATTTTGTGCGGATGCAAACAATGTGTATTTCTTGGATGACAAATACGCCCGCACTAGTGAGGACTAGTGGGGCCATGATATCATTTGGCATGACGGTATTTTCGAGCCATGTATCCAAGGCGGGGAGTGGAAAATGACGGTGAAGTATGTCTCGAAGGGTTGGAGACCGTTTCCCCGCATGGGAAAGGACAACTGGTTGAAGACGACGGAGCAATCAGCACTATACCGCTGTCGGAAAGAGAACCCGGGGAGAGTGAAACATTCATCGCGGCAAAGGCGAAACAATTCTTCGACGCCTTGGGAACCACTCGGCAGTTAGAGTACTCACACAAGTTTTACGAGCTGCAGTCGAGCCCCTCGTACGGCAAGATTGACTGGAAGGTTGAGCGCGCTGCCGCGCTCGAGAACATGGACGTGGACTCCCGAGAAGATGCCGCCCCTGTGCCCGAGGCGGCCACAGGAAACACGATGGGTGAACAAAGGGAAGATGGCGGGACGACGTTCGGCGTGAAGCCTCCGTTGCTAGAGGCGGGGAACACGCCCGCAGGCAAAAACAGCATCGGAGCCATCTCTGTCACAACGGGGGATACATCACAAGGTGAAAAAGTGTCACTCGAAATTGGAGATGATCGAACTTGAACCGATAACTTCATACTTGCAAAACATGCGTTCTACCACTTGAACTACGCCCCCGACGGAACGGAGGAAATGGGATTTGAACCCATGATATAATCTTGTTGTATGTTGATTTAGCAAACCAATGCCTTCAGCCACTCAGCCATACCTCCCGGTAAAAACGGGATTTGAACCCGCGACTTCTGGCATGACACACCAACACTCTAACCAACTAAGCTATTTTCCCATCTGGGTAATAACGAACTTGAACCGCTGGCTCTCTCGGTGTAAACGAGGCACTCTACCAACTGAGCTAATTACCCAAATGTGTTATTCCCAATCTAAAGCGCCCTTCTTCCATTCATAAACAAAAYCAATAGTTAAAATCAATAAAAAGACCATCATAGACCAAAATCCAAACAATCCTATTTTATTGAAAGAAACTGCCCAAGGAAATAAAAAAGTAACTTCTAAATATTGGGTCAAAAGTTCCACTGCAACGGTTGCCCRTTCACCCGTCCAGTCTACTAAAGTGCCCACCAAACCGTGCAAGATGTCGTACATCACACGGCTTTCSAACTTGAGTAATGAATAACCTCATGCATGATGGATGACTCCAATCAGGAAGTCGCCCGATATCATACAGTTACGACTCTGGCGAGTCTCTTCGAGTGTCTCCAACCACTTTGGCCAGACCTTTCTGCTCGAGCGAGCCTCTACGAAGAAATGTGGCTCGAAAGAGCGAGCTGGGAGTCTGGATTTCGGAACCTGGTTACCAGCCATTGCGTGGTTTCTTTAGGTCTTTGCCTGCTATAGCAAAGACCTTAGCCCGTGAGCGAAGCTTGAATTTGGCAGCATATACCATAGCCAAAGAATGACGAAGTATATATGACAATCTAGCTATGCATTGGCGCTTTGAGTCTGCTATGTGATAGTAATTGGCGAGACCGTGCCGGCGGATGCAGGCGCCACATACGGGAGTCTCCTCGCGACAGGTGCGGCGCTGGCAGGCACATCGGAGATGGTGTCAGAGTCCACTGCTGGGATGGGCGTCACGGGAATGTCGTTGCATCCGCCCACATGCATTAGCAAAGGTGACGCACACTGTACAACAACACCACAGGGAGGGGTCACAGGGGATGATGGGAATGGGGGAAATGCAGGGGGTTCTCCACGTTCTTGCAATATTGAGGACATGACGACTGACGATGAGGATGGAGTAGAAGGCGGAAAGGGCGTGAGCGATCCCACTCGTGCAGAAAATGAGGGGTGAGACAGGGAATGAACTTGAGGGGAATCCTCTTCGCGGGAAAATTTAATGTTTTTGTGTGTGTGCTCATTTGTTTGAAATCTGGGTTTGTGGGTGGAATTTGTTCCTGTGTACAATCGACCTGCAGACTCATTAGTGTTCAATTTCCGGGATTTGGCCTTTTAATTGTTGACAAGAAAATTGTGGGGTGAACAATAGTGTGTCGTAGTATGCGTGTGTGTCTCTCTATATTCGTCAATATGCTGCGCTGTGTATATGCATGTATGCCGTTGGGGTACGGTGATGAAAGGGGGCAGGAGTCAGGATTTATTGGTTCCGAAGTGTTGTCGTTCATCTAAGTGTAAGTTTAGCGAAACATTGATGAAGTATCTTGAATACATCATTTCCGTTTAGCATGTTATGCTAAGGCACTTGCTCATGTACAAGTATCTCAAATGGTCGCCCTCCCCGTTTTTTACACCGCCTGCCCACCCGTTTCTTACTTTCCTGTAAGGGCGACCATTTTTTACACCCCTGTCCGCCTCGGTCACCGTTGTTTACACCACCATCGATGTCGTATTCGTCGTGTTTGTCGTGTGCAGTGCAAATTACAACAACGGATACAAGAAAGTGCAAAAGAGGGTGGACAATGCGCCTCGCAACATCGTCTTTATCAGAGAAGGAGATGAAAGCACTCTCACATGTATGCCGGGAGTAGGAGAAAAGGTTCCCAATAACGAGCACACACAATCATTGGACGAACGGAGTACTGAAGCTAACTCGAGACAAATTTATTTTACTAGTCGACGAACGGAACTGGTTAAATGACAACGTCGTCATCTTCTATCTGAACCTTATCGCACTAGACAACTGGTGTAGAATCACATACGTAGAATGCGACGTCGAGAACGAAACCGTGATTAGAATTGGAAAGGGTCGCATTCCTAGAATATCAGTGTTGAGCTCGTTTTTCTTCGCCAGACTTTTCGACAGCGAAATGAGATATCAAGAGCGAGAGGTGCAACACTGGTTGAATGACATTATAATAAGTGACATGGACTTGATAATTGCCCCTTTCCATATCGCACACACGAACCAATGGACCCTCGGTGTGGCTGACTTCAGGAGGAGGAAATTTGAATTTTACAACTCCCTCAGCCCCGACAAAGAACTGACAGCCAAAGTGACCAGCGGATTTGCAAAGTTTTTGTTTAAAAGATCGATTCAGCAAGGCAAAGAGGTGGACACGAAACCGTTTAATCACATATGGACCGTAGAGGGCGTCCCGAAACAACGTGACACTAGCTCGTGTGGGGTCTTCATGCTCGCATACGCATCGCTATTGGCAAGGGGTCACCTTCCGCCTTTCTCTTTCACCGCTGATGACATACCCGCAATACGTCGTCAAATGGCTTTGGACACAGTGGCTCGCGAGTAGTATGAACCTGCTGCTGGATATTGTGATTACATGCGGATGGATGTGGGTAACATTAAATTGTTTGTCACGGAAACAGTGTATAGAAGATGACAACCATTGCTCCAAGCTCCTGCCCCTTACCCCCAAACCCCTTACCCCTTATCCCTTACCCCCAAACCCCTTATCCCTTACCCCTTACCCCATACCCCTTACCCCTTACCCCTTACCCTTGCATGTATACCCATATCCCAAATTCAAATGCATTTTTGACCCTAAATCACCACGGAAATGACAATTTAAATTTCGTTCAAAAAATATAAAATGTCTGTTTTGACGAAATCGCTGTTGAAGAAGGGGGCAAAGGGATGAACGAGGAACCGAGTATATCATAACGGACAAGATTTCATATCAGCACTAGATCAAGCTAGAATCCATGTTGACGCCAACTTCAATTGCAGGATCTTCACGATTCGTGTTGTCTTGCAGATTCTCTACCATCCAGCCCTGTCATGTGCAACTCCTTGCGTCTTCGACTGACGGAGGTCGTCCAGGTGACTTCATCATGGTCCGCCAAATCTTGCCTGCTCCATTACAGGAAATCCGACCGGCGATAGTCGATGAGGAGGGGGTGATGGAGTGGTCTAGGCCATTCAGCTGGGAGGGGAGGAAAAAAATCAGAGGATTCGTCACCGAGATCGACAAAGTGGACAATTCGGTGCGCTCGAGGGAATCGATGGTCAGGTCGAGAGAGGGAGAGGAGATAGTCGGGATATAGGGTGGGGATAGTCCGGAGAACATTATTGCGTAAAGATTTATAGTCCTCTACCGCGGGAAAAGTTCCGGAGACGATGCAATACAACTCCATATGGTTGTATTGCCTCCATGCGACATTGAAAAGAAGGATGTTGGGAGGGAAGGAGGGGGAGCGGTGTGAAAAGACTGTGCACAGGAGTCGCACAGCAAAGTGGTGGCAGAAGAGCTGGATGGCGAATATGCGATAGGTTAGGGGGAACTCGATATGGGGGAGAGGGGAAAAGGAAAGATAATCAAGGGGGTGGCAGTAGATTGGGCGAGGAAGGAGCGCCCGTGCGGGGAGGAGGACGGGGACGAAGCGCGGAGGGGGAGGAGGAGGAAGGAGATGGTGAGCAAGAGCGGCGGCGCAGGCGGGAGGATTCTATGCCATCGTGACGGTTGGTGGCGTCAGAGGGGACTTCGGGGTTCAGTGCAGACCTCCTCGTGCGGCAGGTGGCGCTCGGGCTGGAGGAGCCGCCTAGGGTTCGGGTGTTGATGCCTCCTTTTCTTCCTTCGTCGTTGATCGGGCTTCCGACTCTTCTTCCGTTTACAGCCCCGCGATGGCTATGCGACCTGGGTCGTCGTCCAAGGGCACCTCTACGTGTGCCAGATGAGCATTCCAGAACTCTATCAGATTGGAATTATCCGGTGCGAGCTCGTTCAGGTCCAAATAACACCAAGCCGTAGGATCGTGATCGCTCAAGTGAAGACCAAAGTCCTCTGTACAATTTGCCCAAAATACCGATGGCATCAACGTCCTCTCCAAAGTGATATACCCGACCTGGATAGGACAGCTCGGGTTGAAGGAGATGATGCTCGTCGGCAGATCGTCAACAAGCTGAGATACAAACGTGAGGATCTCGTAGGCGACAGTTGCTCGGCCTCCTTCGACGATCTCTCCACAAAGAAGACCAACTAAGGTACCGTCGGTCTCCGCCTCCTCCGGCCACGCTTGCACTAGTACTAGTGAGATCTCGTTGTAGATCTTCAACTCCCGGTTGCTATAATGCCGTGCCCAGGGACACTTCACCGTTAGCATGCACACGCTGACCGTCGCAAATTCAATCCACTTGCGGATGAAAGAAGGATGGAAGGGAGGGATTTTTTTTTTTTTTTTTTTTTTTTTTTTTTAAACCGGGCCCTGTGCCCAAGGCTGATATTGAAAGGATGAGAACGAGTCCGGGGTCCTCACAGTCTACCCCGATATGTCACTGTCTGGGAGCCTTACCCAGTTTTGCTTTTTACGAGACCCAAAGGGACCCGGAATCCAAAAGATGCATTCAACAGAAAATTCCCATGTATAGCAAAGAAAGATAATCTGCCTCTTCAACTATAAAAGCTGCCAAATTTATCATGCCAAACCAAGCAGTTACATCTTACGTCACATCACAGGATTGTGGTATTTCTACCAATGATAGATGGGATGAAGGAAAAAGATCTGCAAATTCTCTGGGATCCCTGAGAGCGGCTCCTGGTCGTAGTGAGAACCAGTTCTTGAAGCTGAGTTGGAAGTATCTTTTAAAGGAGATTTCCGACCCTTCTCCCCCTGACCATGCCACTTCTCCCAGACTCCTCTCCCCTGTAACCCCCAGCCATTCCACCACAAATTCCTGAATTAAAAGTTGGATATCCTTTTTCTTTTGTAATTTATATAATTTAGAACATAGCCTCTGCCAATAGGTTCTGATTTCTGTTTGTATAAAATAAACAATATGTTCAGAAATCTCGGATCCCTCCAATACTACATTCTCCCTTTCCAGGACTCACTGTTTGTACCATAGAACCCAAACGACCGCTTTTCTATCAATTTAAAAAAAAATAGATTGAAAAGCAGTCAGTGTGATATCTTGTGGACACCAATGTCCTAGCAAGATGGCTTTCCATTCTCAGGGCCAATTCAACCCAGTGATCTCCCTCCAAACATAGTCCCATCTCCTCCATAGTAGAACCGACCCAGGACATTGCATAAAAATATGTTGAATAGTTTCCCAACATCTTTTACTAAGAAAGTTCGATATACATGATTTACACCAAGGAAGAGCCAACCCCTTCTGTTCCAAATATGAGCGGTCTATGATCCAATCATTAGTTGGCAAACATCGATGAGCAATTTGCCACTGCAATGATGAAAATTTAGTTGGGCATTGCCTGATTTTATTAAAAAAAATTATGTTTTTATTAACTTTTTAATTAGGTTTATATCCAAATTAAGGTGTCTAGCCCATCTTTCCCTGAGAATTGCATAAATATCCACTCTTGGCCTTAATAGACGATAGGTCGCTTTTACTATTAGTGATTGTAAGGATCTGGGTTGTCCTCTCTTAGTGGTTTGCCATATCCACTCCGCTGGATCAAAAGGAAGTTCCGTAATAGGTATTTCCAGATGGGAGGCTCTCCACCCTTTGATTGAAGAAATGAAAATCACTGATTCGGTACAGATGTGTCAAGGGAAACATATCAACTGGGTCTGAAGGAGAATGAATCAAGAAATGATCTCTGTTTGTTTTACACTTACTCACTATAGCCCCATGTTGTGTTATATGTACCACTTGTCCTAAAACCTGATGTCCAGTGGTTTGGACCCCTACCACCCAATCCCCTTCCTTGAACCTGGGTCCTTTCCTGAGGACTGACACCCATGCTAAAGGGATAGAAAAAATTATCTGATCTAAACTTGTATTAAGATGATGGACATATCGAAGGAGATGCCTCAACTGATTCTCCGTTTTCCAATCTTTCGTTCCTGTATCCCATATGTCCTTGATGCGTGTAACCCCTCTCTTAACCCACTGACTCCATGGAGGGGAAGAGTTATTAAATATACATCCATTAATGTCCGTGA